CTAAATACTGTACAATAAAATATCATTTATCAAAGCCTCAGACTTACAAATAAACTCGTTTAACCAAATATAGACGTATATTATATGTATGTGTGCACGTAGGGTCAAACATGCAGCGATGTGTGAACTTAAAAACACTTGATGTTGGAGGTTTTATGGATCTGGCAGCATTTCAGCTGCAAATTAGTCAGCAAACTGCACCCTTTTTTTTTTTTTTACAGTGTGACTTGACTGTGTGGTGCATTTAATCACTTACAATGCAGCTCATAAAACAACACTGATTGTACCATTATTCAATCTGCTGCAGGTTTCTGAATTAACTCTCAGGGCAAACTAGCAAAGCAGATATTTTTATAACCTCTTAGTTCAGTTTTTACCCACTGGACGACTTCCCTTTTTTTTTTTTTTTTTTAATATACATATAATTTGAAGTGTAAGGTTTCTGCTTCCTTTGAGAGTCTCCCAGCTCACTTAACAGTCAACACAACAGCTACGTGAATCACTTCATAGATCTAAAATACAGTCGTGGAAAAATACATTGAAAAAATAAATAAAATAAAAAATAAAGCACTGCCACTTGAACAACAGTAAAATGATATTCAGATGTTGAAAACTGCTCACCAGTTTCTCTGTCAGTCTGAATCAGAAGAACGCCCACATCCCAACGTGAAATTATTCTTGAAAAAAAAAAAAGCAAAAAGGAGCAAAACTTTTCTCACTTGCAATGAGTCACAATTGTCAAGGACAACAACAGCCTATATGGAGGGAAATATATTGCTCTGGCATGTTTACCCACACCATCCCTAAATAACAGCCCTGTCTTGTTGGAAAAGGGGCTTTTAAGTGTGGATGTGCTTCGCTCTCCTATAATCCAGCCGAGACATTACTGCTTCCCCTGGCAGACGTCCGCAGATCCCCCCTCTCTCCCAGCCAGGCCTTGCTCTCCGCCGCGATGGCAGAGCCGCAATAACTGCTGTTTGCTCAGAGCCTTGCCTCCCAGGTTCTCCTCTGTCACACAGAAATTGAATATTTTCCCAAATAGTGTTGCAGCTGTGCACAGATAAGGACAAGTCCTGTTCACATAGCACAAAGAATGAGACGGGGTCGGTGTGTGTGTGTGAGGGTGTGTGTGAGAGAGAAAGTGTGTGTGAGAGAGTGTGTGTGTGTGTGTGTGTGTGTGTGTGTGGTGTCCATATTCTTAATTTTCTTTAAATTACAGCAAGAATAAAAGTTGCAAATTAAATAAAAGAATGAGAAATAACCATAATTTTTGAGTATTTCAAACGTGTAATTTTCTATTTTAACTTCAGCTTAAATTTTTTATCTGTGTCAAATTTTTCATATTGTTTTAAAGTGATGGTTAATTTTCCACCAGTGCTTCACACTTCTTCCACTTATCTTGGGAGTGACCTAAACACACACTGCTAATGGCACGCAGCTCCACCAGAGTCGTGCTGTCGACTCGATGTGAAAATACGTAAGCTGCAATCAGAAACCAGGCCAATACGCTACACCCAATCGTTTTATGACCAGAGGACGGCAGTTTTCATGACCCACTTTTGCACTTTGCACTTGCTTCTTTGGAAATGAGTGAAGAAGAAAAAAAAAAAGAGCTGCCAGATAAGCTCAGGGAGGCTGCCACTTAGCCACAGCACACTAACCTATAGGAGAGCCCAGGGTTAATATCCGTGTTGTTTTCTTGTCACCGCACGTTGAATTGAGCCCTGCTCTCCATCGCCCGTGTCCTTGTGGAGTAATGTTCTGCTGGCAAATTATTTAGGCAAGCAGAAAGTTTCACCTGCCATTTCAGGGGCACCGAATCCCCCCGCCGCACCAGAGGCCTTTGGCAAGTGGAAACAAATGTTCCACAAAATGGCAGGGAGGGGAACGCGGTGGCGCACGGCGTTTTACTGATTGCCAATCGTAAAATAAAATCAGTCATGAAAGGGGAGGCATTCTGGCCCACCAAAGGCCCGCGCGTTACGTCAAATTTGCCGTAGCTTTCTTTTACAGCCTTGTTTATTCCCTTTAATGGCGAGCAGTTATCCGCACAGTATGGCTCCGTGTAGGTGGTTTAGCGACAGAAAAGATTGCATCTGAAAACACAAACCCCACAATTTACACGGCAACGAAGCAGTGGGATGTAAATCTGAAACGCCTTAACTCCCTGCAATCCTCCGCCACTGACACATTCACAGCCGCCATCATTTACGTGGTTTCGCTAAGGAGCTGCTAACACGTCATTTGTTAGAGCTGCAATTTGAAATTGTTCCTCGTGCACTTTTGGCTCACAAGGACACACACACACACACATGATAGAGGGAAGGAGAAAAAAAAAAGCCCAGACGAGCTCGAGTTTGGAGGATAAAAGCCCGGCGTGCCCCCGTAGTGTAACACTGACACAAACAATCCATTCAGCCGCAAAGCAACCTTTAAATCAGCCATGTTGACTCGCCAAGTGCTGCTCACTGGAAGACACGGGGCTCACGTCGACGCCTGACACGGAAACAAAGTGAGCAACCGGTCAGTGCGTGCACGCTCATATCGAATTAAATCGATAGCAAATTAGCTTAATAAAGCCAGAGTGGAGCAGCCTGGTGGAATTTAAAAAAGCTGCGTTTTAATGTCAAACAGGAGCTCAGCTGCTGCTCTGAGGGGGAGAAACAAGCAAGCAACAGTCCGTAATGTCACATATTTCTGATGCGTTCACACCCACTCACATCCACACGCTCTCGTGCTCTGTGACATGTAAAGTTGACATAAGAGTGACATGTCGCTCCCTTAAAAAAAAAAAACCCTCATCCAGGAGGGGTGCAGGGCGGTATTGATCTACGAGTAAAGATGAACGCTGGAGCAAAGAGAAGCAATCTGGAGCTCTGGCAGATCAAGAGCAGCTGCAGTTCTTTGAAACCGGACGCACTTCCACTGAAAGAAGGCTCTGGACTGAAAAAGGTGCTCTCATGCTAAGACTCAATTGTGAAATGCTTCATAATGGCCGCAGATATCAAGCAACAAGACATCCGAGAAGACACTTTCCTTCTTTAAAACGCACCCACAAGCAGATCTCATTATTCCCATCCAGCGTGGATAGATCTGGCTTTCGGATGCTGGCAAACAAAACTACAATTTTTTTATTTTGCTGCTGTTTTAATGAATAATTCACACCCACAAAAAAAAAAAAAAAAGTAATCATTTCCAAGAATTTTCATATCATTCCTCCAAACCAAAAACCCAAATGTGATTTTTTTTCCTCCCTCCTGCGTTACACTGACTGTACATATTAGCTTGTTGTCAGAAAGCTTTGACAAATTCTCCCACAACGCCACACAAACAAATACAAGTGAGATTATGTTCTACACACCACGTCGCTGCTTACAAGAAGGAAACAAGTCTCTTCAGTTTTTCCAGCTCACACACACTCATCCTGAAGCCTTTCAAGCTCAGCCAAAAAAAAAAAACCAGTGGCACAAAATAGAGGAGTCCTACTATTGTGTAAAGGCTCTGGCCACTTTGATATGCTAATACGTTCCTCCTAAACATCTGGAATTTGCATTATTTTATGCACTAACACGGAGTTTCCTCTAATAATAATAAAATAAAATAAAGGCTTGGAGGAGCTTCTCTTGGATGATAAAAGACACTATGAGCTTGTTCCTCAGGCATTCCTTCCAAACTTATTCCGCCTGGCTTTGTGTGTGGCTCAACAATCACTTTGTAATGTATGTTGAGGAACACAAAACCTTCATCTGCATCCTCCAAACGCTCCTGTTTCCTATCATACTGGGACGATCTGGGGTGAAAGGTCGTGCCACGCTGCGTTTTCACTCATTTTTTACATCTGCAGCAGCTCACAGGAGAGCTGTGATAAATGTGCAGGTTTTTTTTTTTGCAGACTAAATACAGACACATTCATGGACACTAATCCAGGCAGGAATTCGCAGCTCCCTCCCTCCTCTCTCTTTCTCTCTCTCTCGCTCTCTCTTTACAGATCAGATCCTCAGCAACTAATACAAAAAAAAAAAAAGGAGAAATAAAGCTGGGGGGCATGAGGAGCTAAATTTATCCCAGTGCTCTGATCGATCAGTGCGGGTTGCTGCTGAGCTCCGGGCTGCGGGGCATCAGGCGGCCGGCCGCGGTGCGCCTCCGCCTGGCTGAGGCGCACGGAGCCGCGTGTGCGCGTCTCTTTAACACATGGTTGACAAGACGGAGGCCTAAATAATACATGTGCAGTAAAAGGATCTAATTTTACTGCCACTCTGCGCCCAGCTCAGTCCGAGCAGCCAAATCTGTCCCTTTCTTTTTTTTTTATTCCTGTTTTCGTTCGTGCCTCTGATTGATTTCCACGTCACTTTCCACGCCGGCGGATCCACCGCATCACCGCGATCTGTGGCCAAAACTCATTATTACGCTGCTGCGCTCATTTTCTCCCCTCCTTTTCTTTCTTTCTTTTTTTCTTCTTCTTCTTTCGGACAAATAGCCTAACCCCAATTATAATGGATTAGCCCGTGAATGCTCTCCAGAAGCACACCGACGTCGCTCCTCAGGTCACCGCTTCCAGCACAAATCCCCATTCAGAGCAGCGCTGGCTTTAAAGCCCTCAGCGACCAGCAAACTCCAGCTCAACTTTGGAGGCGCAAATTCCACAATTAAAATGCTGTTTTACATGTTCTGGTTCACAGAGATGCACAGCTGCTTCCCCCCTCCAACACACACACACACACACACAAACACACACTTAGATCGAACTAGTTTCCATTCAGACCAAATCAATCCACATCTGGTTATGTTTTGATGAAGCGCTTTTCAATTACGCACGCTGGAGTTTAAATCACTGCAAACTGGATCCACTGTTCACACTTAATTACTGTCTGGGTTTTTTTTTTAAGTAGCTTTTTTAAAAAAAACACTGTAAAACTTGGTGTTAGAGAATAAAACGCAGGAAAAGTTGCTCCCCACATGAACTTGTCCACAGCAACAGAAACAAAACTCCTCGTTCTTACCTTTGTGGAAAAGCAGCGAAGCCAAACGGGGCTAAAATGAAGTCAGTGGGAGGAAAATGTGAACAGTAAAAATGTCAGATAGTGGAAGGACAGTCTGATGGGAACTCCTCTGCAGCGAAGGGAGAGCAGCGTGTGCGCGCCGGGCTCATGCTCCCCTGATGCGGGTCGGAGGCTGGCTACCAGGCGGCGGGTCCCCCCCTCAGCGCGTACATTCCCCCGCACCGGGCGCGCACTTCCATGGCACCGAGGTGTTGCTCTGCGCTCAGTCCCAAACTCGGCAGCGGCTCATGCGCCTCTGAGCGGCTCCTCCACTCTCCGGTGCGCCTTCTTCACTCCCGAAGCAAACGAGGAGAGAGAGAGTGAGAGAGAGAGGCGAAGCTCGAGCAAAGAGAGGAGAAGAAGAAGAAAGAAAAAAAAAAAAAAAAAAAAAGAAGAGACAGAGTGACTGAGAGGGACAGGAGAGAGAACGGAGTGGGGCTGCTCAGTGTCTGGTGAAGGACAGAGGAGGAGGAAGAGGACCGCCGGACGCCGACGCTGCGCTCCTGGCTCCGCGCACTGACACTGTGGAGACTGGGCAAGTTTCAGCGGCTCGCCTCTGGAAAAGATCCCGCTCACAGCGTTCAGACACTTGGTGGAAGCGGCGCGGAGCGGGCTTCCAGTAAACAGCGCCAGTGCAGAGGAGAGCAGGCTGCCGTCTGCAGGAGCCGTCTGAGCGCAGGGCTGCGCCAAAACCCGACATGGACTCCGGATCCGCTGTGACTCGGAGCGCGCAGGAGACTAATCACATCAAGTTATTATCAGGCCCCGCTAGGACTCGGCTCGGCTTTTTCTTTTCACATAAAGGGAAGAGTCACCGGCATCACAGAGAAAAGAAGGAGGTTATCGATATATTCCCCTTCATTTTGGCCCCTTTTCTGCTCAGAGGTGGAACACTGGCTTCCTTTTGGGTATGAGGCCCAGGCTCTGTCACAGTAGGCAGTCCGGCCCATTCAGCCAATGACAGAGGACTCATTCTACTGTAATACTAGCAGGCATCAAAAGGAACATGGAAGTACAGAGCGACTCTTTTCCCCCCCTCCACTCAAACCGGCCCCACAGGACCCAACACTGGCCTGGGCAGCAGTGGTCAAGCTGCTGCTGCTGCTGCTGGTCGCCGGAGCCAAGTGCGAGGAAGCCAAGCAGCTTTTCAAGCCTCCTCTCAGCTTTTTTCACTGTAGTTTTCTTTTACATGATTCATGACACCATTCAGCAGTCAGGGGAATAATGCCGCCTGCTGCTGCTGCTGCTGCTGTGACCCTTCACTCCTCCTGTTCTGTTGCCCATTTGAATGTTTTAATGCAGTTGTGCAAATGTGATTACGGTTCACGTTGCACCGGAGCTCTACGCAGCATTCCTTTGAATTTAAATTCAAATGCATTTTTTATTTTTTTGGTCAAACCATTGTGTTATCTTTACATCAGATGAATCAAACACGCAGGTCACAACCAATTCGTGTTTTTTTCTTTCCTGAGACTCGGGGCATTGTTATGATCTGGTTAAAGAATTCTGTCCAGAAAACACGAAGCAGAACATGGCTACACACCTGGCTTCAATAAAGCCTGTCTTTCAGCCACTGTGGGGAAATGTGAGGTTGAGTCATGCTTGCCAGGTGAAGGTGAACGCAGGAGAGGGGCACAGTTATGTTTTCATAAGCATAATTTTACATAATAATACAGCCGTTTTTGCAAGGGACAAAAAAGGGAAAACAGATGTAATAAAAGGTCAGCCGGTGACAGGCATCCATATCTGCGGAGATGTTTATTTATAAGGCCCGACTAAAAACACATGTGGTGTCTCTGCACCGACTCCAGCTGCCATTTTGCATGGATTCATCTGAATATGATTCCTCGAATTGTCAACAGAGGGCATTAGACTTATATTCTCCCAAATGTGCATAAATCACTGAACTGTAAAATCCACAACAAAACCAAGCAGGTGAAGACATCAGTCGCTGTAATTAAATGCTTTTTTTTTTTGCTAATTACAGACCACCTCGTGCGCCCGAGCGAGCCTGCAGCCTGAGCGTCGTCTCTCTGACGAGACGCAGCGGTTGCGCGTAGATTGTTCGTGTTATGATAAACTCTGATGTAATCACATCTTGCAAAGGTGGCACAATATTGCAGATAATCAGCCGCCAAATGGTGCCTGATAACTGCTGACTCTCTCGGCAACATGGAGGGGAGGAAAAACAAGAAGATCATAATTATCATCGTAACAGCGAAGATGTTTGTCTGTTTTCGTATCGGTGGAAGACGGCGGCAGATGCTTCAGACGGACCCTCGGTCATCCGTGGTGAGAGCAAACACGCCGGCCGCTTTCCCATGTGGCTCCAGGCTGCCTCTTAACCTTCAATTGTTCGCCAAACAATGCTTATTGGTTCCTTCCCAAAATATTTGCACATGATTGACATCTCAGGCACACATGACCAGTCAGAAGACCGCCGCTGACCCCCCGGCAAATCTGCGGCCTTTCATGCCAACGGACAAAGATTTGACCAACTTATATGCTCCGGAGCACAATTAACAAAAGCTGAGTCGAGGCCTGATCGCTCAATCGTTTGTTCATTAACTGTTCGAGATGCTTTTTTTATCATCTTGTTTTGTTTCTCCATACGGCACTCTACAAAGAAAAAAGGCATTTTAGGCATTTTTTGTTCTTATTCAATCCTGCAACATCGTCAGGGAGGCGTCCGATTGGTCCACAACGACCACGAACATGCAGCCAGAGCGGGAAAGGCTGATATTTAGTGATAGAAAGTCCTAGGATTCCTCAGCAGAGCCCTAATCTGAGCATCGTGGACTCAGTTCGGATTAAGATGAAGAGACAAAAGGTGTCGATAAACTCCAGAGAATCCTCAAGAGCATCGGCAGCGTAAGTCCGTCAGACTGAACCCTTTGCATGAAGTTAACCGATAAATAAAACTAATTACGTCAGCAGAGTTTAGGACTTATGTAACCCAAAACTCCAAACCAGTTTCCTCCCGTAACAGAGACATCGTTTAAACCAACTCACCCACTTTTTTTTTTTTTTTTTTTTTTCACTCGCTAAATTGTTCCGAGTGCAGATAAAGGAATCGGCTTTGGGTGGCCAAAACGGGTTGCACTTCCTATTTTCTTCTTGTCACATCTCCTCCAACCACTATAGATGAAAAGTTCAAAGGGAAACTTCCAAGTGTGTGAACTAGTGATGTTTCTGTCCCTGCCTCATTTGCATGAATCTGTTCCAAATCAAGTGAAACTCCTCCTGACTCCCTCAGTATTCTCTCATCAATTTCGCCGAGCTGGCTTCGCCGGTCTCCTTGGATATCAAACTCTCGGAGCAGACTCGTAATCAAAGAAGGCCTCCCCACACAGTGGCGGCTCGGTTAATATTTATGTAGTCATGGGCAACCATGTAGCTTGGAGTTCTGACCTGACTTCTGCAGCGGCAGCAGCACCTCCAGGAGCTGCATGAAGTCCAGGAGCAGAGCTGATTTAGGGGGAAGCAGCAGGATGAGAAAGGATCCTTAAAAAAGCTCCGGTTCTGTCGGAGACGCCGTTAATTTAGCAGCTTTTTTACAAAACAGCTGAATGGGAAAGTTTCATTTGAACGCAATGATTTAAATGTAATTTTAACAGAATTGTCATTTAACAGAAAATGATTCCATCCTGTTTAATTCACTGATTAGACTTTCCAATGACTGGATTTATATTGTGCTGCCACATTAGCCGGCTTGTTTCATTTTGTCGTATTTTTTATTTTGTGTGTGTCATTTGGGTTATTTTGAATGTTTTGTGTCCTTTTGGATCTTGTTTATGTTGTTTTCTGTCACTTTGGTGCAGTTCTGCCTCCTTTCTGTGTCTGTTCTGTGTCTTGTTCGTCTTTTTGGGTCTCGCTTGTGTCGTTTTGTCTTATTTTTTGCTGCTTTGTGGCTTATTTTGTCGTCATTTTGCGTCTAATTTGTGTCAGTTATATGCCTTGTTTGTTTTGTGTCTCATTTTTCGTGCTGTTTGTGACAGTTTTGTCTCATTTTTGTCATAATACTTCACATTTGTTGTCAGTTTTTTATAGTTGTTCTTATTTTTGGCTCTAAAACACTGTTAATTTAGCAGATTTTACAAAACAGCTTAAAATAAAAAGTTTAATTTTAATCTCTAGTTCAATGATGCAATAATTTAAATATAATTTTTTACTATTGTAATTTACTAAAACAGAAAATGAATCCATACTGTTTTATTCTGTGAACAGACTTTCCAATAACTGGATTTATATTGTGCTGCCACATCAACTGGTTTTGTGTCTTGCTTGTTTTTTTTTCGTCTAATTGTGTGTGTGTGTGTCTCATTTGGCTTACTTTCAATGTTTTGTGTCTCATTTGTCATGTTGGATCTTGTTTATGTTGTTTTGTGTCTCATTCTTTACTTTTGGTGTCTCACTTGTGTCATTTTACCTCAGTTTTTGTTGCTTTGTGGTTTATTTTTTCATCATGTTGCGGCTTATTTGTGCCTCGTTGGTTTTGCGTCCCATTTTTCATGCTGTTTTGTCTCCCTTTGGTCATAATATGACACTTTTTGTCGTCAGTTTTTACCGTAATTCCTATTTTTGGTTCCAAAACGCTTCAGATTTTACAGTATTTTGCAAGTAAAGTACACCACTGTTAGAATATGGCTGCATTTATTACAGTAATGCAGGTTTACTTGTGTGGATTTTCACACGACTGAACAACTGAGCTTTGACTTCAGTTAACAGACTTTATTTATGTGGACTTTTACCAACACACTGATATGAATACGTCGTATCTTAAGATTACAAATGTTATAAGACGAGTTGCCAGAAAATGTTCCTGGTAAAGAAAACACGGGATTCTGTGTTTACTTTGCTGTCCGGGTTAATTAAAAAAAAGATAGATCGCTGCGTGTTAATGAAAACTTGTTTTTATGGGTTTTTAATTTGCGTTAAATGAAGTGTTTTTCTCGAGGCCCATATTTTGCGGTGAATCCGGTGTCATTGGAGCATTTACACTTGCATGCACCTGACCTCAGATCAATAATGAATACAAGATCGTCTCGTGCCTTTTGAGATCGATAGTTTTCTTTGTCTCCACGTTTTTTCATTAAACAGACCTTTGGACGAAGGGAAAAAAAGAAAAGCAGCCGCATAAGCAATCAAGTTTGGTCTAAATTGAAGTGAACATGCTGAGAGTTGGCACACCAAGTAAAAATATTATCAACTCGCAAGGAATGAGCTCATCATTCTGCTCGAGTTTCAGATATTTAATCACTCCGTCTGTTCAGAGAATGCAGCTCTGGTCGCACCCCCTCCCCCCGTTAAAGAGCCCCGGACTTATAATTGACCCAGCAGACAGGAAGCAATTAAAAAGAAGTCAAACACATGAGGGGCTTTGAGATCAAATTTGAAAAAAAAAAGCAAGGTCCAGT